AGCTGGTGGTTGAGGCTCTGAGTTCCTTATTTTGGGGCCCAGGCTGGGGCTGGGGAACTGGGCGGGAGGAGGCAGATGGGCAAGCAAGGCACCGGAAAGCAGCCGCGGCTTGGAGGGCAGGGGCAGGGGGTAGAGGGGGGGCAGAGGCAGGGGCCAGGGGGCAGGGGCAGTGGAGGCTGGCGGGGCGGGCGGCTGGGGCTGGGCTGGGGGTAGAGGGCGGGGAGGGAGAGCTGGCGGAGGGGGCGGGGTAAAGGGAAGGGGCAAAAACCAGTGTAGGGGGGAGTGGAGGCTGGGGGGCGGGCGCTGGGGCTGGGGCTGGAGCTAGAGGCTGGGGGCTGGGTGGAGGCCACCGACACCTATTTAAATTTTTAAAAATCTTTAAAATCTTTAAAATCTTTAAAATCTGAAAAGCTTGGTTTTCAAAAATTAAAGATTTTAAAGATTTTAAAAGCCTTTAAAATCTTTAGAATCTTTAAAATCTGAAAAGCTTGGTTTTCAAAAATTATAGATTCTAAAGATTTTAGAAGCCTTTAAAATCTTTAAAATCTGAAAAGCTTGGTTTTCAAAAATTAAAGATTTTAAAGATTTTTAAAATTTTAAATCGTTAGGTCTGGGCTCCAGGCCACCGACACCTATTTAAAATTTTAAAAATCTTTAAAATCTTTAAAATCTTTAAAATCTGAAAAGCTTGGTTTTCAAAAATTAAAGATTTTAAAGATTTTAAAAGCCTTTAAAATCTTTCTTTAAAATCTGAAAAGCTTGGTTTTCAAAAATTAAAGATTTTAAAGATTTTTAAAATTTTAAATCGTTAGGTCTGGGCTCCAGGCCACCGACACCCATTTAAAATTTTAAAAATCTTTAAAATCTTTAAAATCTGAAAAGCTTGGTTTTCAAAAATTAAAGATTTTTAAAGATTTTAAAAGCCTTTAAAATCTTTAAAATCTGAAAAGCTTGGTTTTCAAAAATTAAAGATTTTAAAGATTTTAAAGATTTTTAAAATTTTAAATCGTTAGGTCTGGCTCCAGGCCTCCGAGGCTTGGTTTTCACCGAAAAGCGGTTTCCACCAAATTTTAAATCGTTAGGTCAGGCCTATTTAAAAAAATCTTTAAAAATCTTTAAAATCTTATAGATTTTAAAGATCCTTTAAAATCTTTAAAATCTGAAAAGCTTGGTTTTCAAAAATTAAAGATTTTAAAGTTTTTAAAGATTGGTTTTCAAAAGATTTTAAAGATTTTAAAAATCTTTAAAAATCTTTAAAAATCTGAAAAGCTTGGTTTTCAAAAATTAAAGATTTAAAGATTTTAAAAGCCTTTAAAATCTTTAAAATCTGAAAAGCTGGTTTTCAAAAATTAAAGATTTTAAAGATTTTAAAGAATTTTAAAATTTTAAATCGTTAGGTCTGGGCTCCAGGCCACCGACACCTATTTAAAATTTTAAAAATCTTTAAAATCTTTAAAATCTGAAAAGCTTGGTTTTCAAAAATTAAAGATTTTAAAGATATTAAAAGCCTTTAAAATCTTTAAAATCTTTAAAATCTGAAAAGCTTGGTTTTCAAAAATTAAAGATTTTAAAGATTTTTAAAATTTTAAATCGTTAGGTCTGGGCTCCAGGCCACCGACACCCATTTAAAATTTTAAAAATCTTTAAAATCTTTAAAATCTTTAAAATCTGAAAAGCTTGGTTTTCAAAAATTAAAGATTTTAAAGATTTTAAAAGCCTTTAAAATCTTTAAAATCTTGAAATCTGAAAAGCTGGTTTTCAAAAATTAAAGATTTTAAAGATTTTAAAGATTTTTAAAATTTTAAATCGTTAGGTCTGGGCTCCAGGCCACCGACACCTATTTAAAATTTTAAAAATCTTTAAAATCTTTAAAATCTTTAAAATCTGAAAAGCTTGGTTTTCAAAAATTAAAGATTTTAAAGATTTTGAAAGCCTTTAAAATCTTTAAATTCTTTAAAATCTGAAAAGCTTGGTTTTCAAAAATTAAAGATTTTAAAGATGTTAAAAGCCTTTAAAATCTTTAAAATCTTTAAAATCTGAAAAGCTTGGTTTTCAAAAATTAAAGATTTTAAAGATTTTGAAAGCCTTTAAAATCTTAAATCGTTAGGTCTGGGCTCCAGGCCGCCGACACCTATTTAAAATTTTAAAAATCTTTAAAATGTTTAAAATCTGAAAAGCTTGGTTTTCAATAATTAAAGATTTTAAAGATTTTGAAAGCCTTTGAAATCTTTAAAATCTGAAAAGCTTGGTTTTCAAAAATTAAAGATTTTAAAAGCATCTGAAATCTTTAAAATCCTTAAAATCAGAAAAGCCTGAATTGATATAGTATTGATAAACAAAGCAAAGCCATACGTCAAATAGACCCTAAAGGTCCTACGTACATATATATATACACACATGCATACATGCATACATACATACATACAAACATACATGCATACATGAATATCCTACATGCAGCTTTCTTGTTTTGAATCGGCATTGCCAATGCCCTAAACTCGAAACCTCAATCATGCTGGGGCAAAGCCGAATGCATTGCTCAACCATCAACCTTAAGCTGAAGGGTAAAGGCCCCTTGTAAAGACACACGAAGGACCCCAAACCCCCAACCTACAGACAGAACTTATCTCATCGCCAACAGTATGGGATTCAAAACTTCAGCACAATGTACCCGCCAAATCTGGCGTATGAGGCGCCAATACTATACCCTTCTAGAACCATGGCAGGCACATTCGTAAGTTTTGTAGCAACGCTGATAGAGCCATTTGTGTAACCTCGAGAGTAACCTTTCTATAGCTTCATAGAACCTATGTAGGGCCTTGACCCAGGTAACCCACCGTGTCAAGGAATTTGTTTATGGAGTGTATTATGGATCCTTGAGCAGGTAGGCCAGGTAGGAGGGACCACTAGGGCTCCGCTCATGTATAAGTTCTTGCTTGCAGTAGTACTGTAGTATTGGGTTTGGGGGCAGCACTGGCTTGCGGGTATTGTTGCAGTCCCCATTTCCTTCTCACCTTCATCTGTGCTTTTGTGCTACTCAAGCGCATCCTCTTTTGCATCCTTATCTCCATGCCAAAATAGCTGGCACAGAGGGACGGGAATAGAGCATTCAGATAGTGCAGGAGTCATCGAGCTACTAACTTGAAGCGACGAGCTCGAAATGTGAGAGGGGTGGAGTACTTAATATTACACGGTCCAAGTAACCCATAGGCCCCAGCTGCGCAACGATCCGTCTGGGCAGGTGGAGAAGATTCGAAGCCCTTCCTGGCACTCCACTGCTACGACGGAGCATGAAGAAAACATGAGAGCACAGGGTTTAGGCCCAGGCTTACGAAAAATCAAAGCTTAGGGTTTGGGGCGATGCCTCGAAAGAGTGGGGTTAGGATTTGGGGTTCAGGGCACGGGGTGTAGTCCACACCATCGGGAGAGCTGTGTCTTGCTTGGTAGAAAAGTCTTTCTACAGGCTTGGTAGATGCTTATGTGCCCGAGTCATGTTGACTTTCTGATTTTGCGGTTCTTCCTCATGCACGAAAGAGCGCGGAAGCCACACGAACGCGGCGTGGGAAGGGAGTGTTTTTGGGAGAAAGCATTCAACAATTGAAATGCCAGCACCGGTTCCATGACCCTGCTTCACCTTCTCCCTCAACTGCCCTTAAACATGCAACAGTAGTGAAACACGAATCACGCAATGCGGCAGCAAACCCACACTTTGCCGTCCGTTGACCCAGAGGCCCTCAATTTCTGCAGACACCCGATCGGCCCGCAACGAAATTTCTCGCACTGTTCTGTTTCCGGCATGCACGGTGGCGGCCGAGTCCTAGGGCAAATCGTTACTGTTGTAAGCCATTGGGATGTTCTGCGCCATGCTGATATGTTCCTAACAAACGGACACAATCCGATGAACATGTTAGAGGCATGAGGAAATTGCAATCACCATTGAGAGGCTTGACAACGGACACGGGGAACGAATCGGGTCCAATCAGAGCGTATCTTTCTGCCAGAGAACGTATCTTTCTGCCAGACACCGTCTTGTTACAGGCATACTTCTGGTTGCGGGTGTTAGGGAACGGTTCCAGCAACAGCCAAGTTGGTCCGACCGCATCCCTGGGGCTAGAATTTTGTGGCCTCAACGCCAGCCATAGCAGTTTCAGGTACCGCTCAGAAACGAAACTTAAGGCTTTCGAAGTTAAACCGTCAGCATAAACGCGCAACCGTAAAGCTAAAACCCTTAAGCCCCTAAGCCCAAAGCCCTATACAACCCTAAAGCGGTCCGAAATTGCGAATCATCAACCCCCAGATGCCCGTTCGTACCAAGCCTCCCTCCAAGGCAAAATTGCAAGAGCTGGAGCGTCGAACCCAGAAGCTCGTAAAGTTGATCTTGAAGCCCTTGCAATGCTCAATATTGACAGCTTATACCTGGCTATAAACATGCGTGTATATAAAACACAAATTTTAATATTGGCATATATACATAATATACATATATGTATACATGTATGTGTAAGTATGTGTGTTTGTGTTTAGGGTATGAATACCGTAAGCCTTAAGCCCGAAACCTTGCTCCGGCTCCACGTTCTTTTTACCCTGGCCATGGTTGGCTCAAGGTCCTGGATCAAGGGACCGGGTCAGCAGATTTGGTGAATGCAAGCCTACGACATTGACGTGGGCTCTTAAGTTTCGTTCTATTCTTTTCATTATAGGGTTTAGGGTTTAGAGTTTAGGGTTTAGGGTTTACTATAGGTGCAATTCACCACATCGAAGAGACTTTAGTGTAATGGCAGTTAGAAACAGGTGAATTCGCGCAGCAAAGGCTCAGGGATGTTGGGAGCATAATTTACAAACCTTGAGTCTTCATCAGGGCGTTTTACATGGATCGTAACATTTCGGTGATAGAACACCGGGGGTTCCTAAACATGTTCCTGCATTAAATGTCTTTGCGTCGGAGTTTTAGGGCCTAGGGTCTTGGGCACGGAAGCCGAAATCCTAAACTCCGTTCGCGGATGGTGCGGCTTCGTCACCCCACCTCTGCGCAGGCTTCCGCAACTTAAGATGTCCTCCGAGCCTATGACACTTTATGCAGCGAAGAGTCCGGGCTAAAGTGGAGAGCCAGGGCCGAAAAAAACTTGTCACCAAGAACGGTAAACCAGCAATTCTGGAAATTATCCAGGTGAGGATGTTCCCTAAACCCTAAACCCTAAATCCTAAATCCTAACCCTAAACCCTAAACCCATGATCAGGCCTGAAGTGTTCTACCCACAACCCTCCACCCCAAAGCAATTTCCGAGTCGGGTTAAGGGGTTGGAATTCCGCCCTTTCCCTGGAGGCGCTCTGTGACCCTATACCCCCAACCCTTAAATCCCTCAACCCCAAACCCAAGCCCCAAACCCCTAAACCCTTAAAACCCCTAAACCCAGCCCCAAACCCCTAAACCCTTAAAACCCCTAAACCCAGCCCCAAACCCCTAAACCCTTAAAACCCCTAAACCCAGCCCCAAACCCCTAAACCCTTAAAACCCCTATAAACCCAGCCCCAAACCCCTAAACCCTTAAAACCCCTAAACCCAGCCCCAAACCCCTAAACCCTTAAAACCCCTATAAACCCTAAACCCAGAAACCCAGAGCCCCTAAACCCTTAAAACCCCTAAACCCTAAACCCTAAAATCCACAACGGTTCCACCCGGGCCACTCTGAGATCTCGATGGGCTCGTGACCTTCCAGGCTGCCAATTCCTCAGCTCGCGAGCTTTCCCCATCCTCGCGGGGCCCCCTTCCTATAAACCCTAAACCCCCAAGCGCTTTCTTCGGAGGCGCTCTGCGACCAGGGGCTTTTCAGGGCCTCCTCGGCTCAGCAAATTCTCTCAGGCCCCCGCTGGCGACTGTATTGCGAGCATCCGGGCTTTCGGGCTTGCGGTTTAGGGTTTAGGGGTTTAGGGTTTAGGGGTTTAGGGTTTCGTAGGGGTTTAGGGTTTAGTAGGGGTTTAGGGTTTAGGGTTTTAGGGTTTAGGGTTCAGGGTTTCTGGGGGGTTTCGGGCTCGGGGTTGTGGATTTAGGGTCTATGGGGCTCGCAGGGCTTAAAGGGTTCTGGGTTTTTGGAGTTTCGGCGGCTTTGAGGCTCAGCCTAGGATGCCCAGTAGTACCCTTATTCCTTTTTTGTAGTCCCAGGTTCCTTATAAAGTTACCCAATACCAAAAAGAGAGGCCTTTTTGTTCTTAGGTTACTGGGTATCCTAGCAGCCCTTTTGTCTTGCACTTCAGTGGTTTAGGGATTCGGGCCTGCCTGCAGGGTGTACTTGAGAACTCTGGGCAAAGGCATTGAGCAGAAGAGCCAACTAATCCCACAAATCCTAAACCGCTCTTTCCGAAACCCTGCACCTTAAACCTTAACCCCTTGACCCATAGATCCCGTTTAGGATCCCTTATAAAGGAGCCCTACAAAATCTTCCCACAGGCCTGGGCAAGGTTTTCGCCGAAGGTCTCACCGGGGTCATCGGTGCTGCCGAGGTCTGATGCTGGCTTTGAGGGTTCAGGCCTAGGCGTTTAGGTGTGGGGTTCTTTATGTTTAGGCCTGTAGATAGGGGTCTATGGTTAAGGGTTTGGGGTTCTTTGAGGGCTTAGGCGTTTAGATTTAGGCTGATAGAAACCCTAATAATTAGAAAAAGCTTTTTTTAATAGCGGTCTAGGGATTTAGAGAGGGGTCTATGGTTTAGGGTTTGGGGTTCTTTGAGGGTTTAGGCGTTTAGATAGGGGTCTATGGTTTAGGGTTTGGGGTTCTTTGAGGGTTTAGGCGTTGAGATAGGGTCGATGGTTTAGGGTTTGGGGTTCTTTGAGGGTTTAGGTTTAGGCGTCTAGATAGGGGTCTGTGGTTTTGGGTTTGGGGATTAAAGTTTCGGCTGCAGTTTCTGATGGGTCAACCTTGACATGAGGAGCTTTTCGCTTGGGCTTCACGGTTTCATTTGCATTCGGTGTGTTTGGGAAAGGGGGTTGTAAGGGTTCCTTGAAGGGATCCTCTAAGGGATCTATAGGGGTTTAGGGCGTAAGGTTGCAGGGGTTTGGGTTGTTTGGGTTCAGGGCTGTTGGGCTTTCAGGGTCTCGGGCCCAGGAATTCTAGGGCTGTGGGCCCTAAAGTTGACTCGAGGCTTCCAGTTCTCAATTTTCAGTCGAAGTAGGCCTTTGGGATTGGACTGAACCCTAAACCCTTAACCCTAAACCCTATACGAAGATGTTTCCGAAGGCCTTTAATTTGCCAACCTAGCAGTCCGCTTCTGCATACTCCGCGAGGTGGAGCCCGCAGGTTGCATCAGATATATGGGGGTTTCCGAAAACTTAGGGTCCCTTGTTCTAGGGGTCCTTATAATAAGGATCCTACTGTTTAGGGTAGTATAGTAGGGTCCCCTATTGTCGGAAACTCCCATATGAGAAATCCCGAAGCCTAGAATTCCTGGACCTTGATTCTTAAATCGCATTGCTTTTTTCGCCACTTCAACCCAAGCATAAGATCTTGATACAGTCTGTCTTGATCCCTAAGGCAGCACACCTTGGACCCTAAACCCTAGAACCCCAACACGCTACGCCCTCAAACCCTCATACTGCATACTCCCCTAAACCCTAAACGACTGCGGACTTAGCTTTATGGTTATCATCGGGTTAAGCCCTCAGTCTTTCAGAACATGAGCCGGACAAACACAAAACACACAGCACGGAAAACCGAGCACCCAGCAACAAAAACAACAACATCACAGGCAACAAAGCAACCCCAATAGACACGGAGCCCTACGCCCTACAGATAGTAAACACAGAAGCACGAAACACTAAACCAGCATCAAGGACCGACAAAAAACACGTAAAGCGCTAAGAATCGTGAGGTGTCGACGTTGCGCCCCGAGGATGTTTCCTCGGCCGGGGATGCCGCCTTTTCAGGGACGGAGCCCGTGAGCCAGGTGGAGGCACCGAGAGCCCTTTGGGGGCTGTGGGTTCCGTAGAGGGTTTAGGGTTTGGGGCTAAGGGGTTTAGGGGTTTACGGGTTTGGGGTTCATAGAGGTTAGGGTTTAGGTTTTAGGGTCTGTGGGCAATCCGAGCGTTTAGGATATTTGTTCATGTGTTAGGTTATAATATGCCCTACCTTATGATATGTACAGGTTCATGGAAACCTATGATCGGCTGGATCTTGCGACACTGCGCTACGCCACATTTTCATTATGGGATCTAGAAGCGAAGTTACTGTACGGCTTTTATATTACATGATTATGTACATTCCTTAACTTGGGGAGCACAGCGCCTCTGCAGGTTCGTAGGGTTCCGGAATTGTGCAGGGTTCTATACGGCTTGTCGGTTTCATAGGCTTTTTTGTAGGGCGCTTACACTGAAGCTCTAGGCACTCATTTGTTACGCGTTGGGCTCGAAGATCAGACTGTATGAGGCTTTCGGACGACTTTGGGCCTCAGGGTTAAGACTGTTTCGACTTTCGGGCTGGGGCTTTAGGGTTCAATAGTGATCTCTCTCGGGCTTTCAGTTGGGCTCAGGGTTCTGGAGTTTAGCTAGTGTGTGTGTGTGTGTGTGTGTTGTGTGTTGTGTGTGTGTTGTGTGTGTGTTGTGTGTGTGTTGTGTGTGTGTGTTGTGTGTGTGTGTTGTGTGTGTGTTGTGTGTGTGTTGTGTGTGTGTTGTGTGTGTGTGTTGTGTGTGTGTTGTGTGTGTGTTGTGTGTGTGTTGTGTGTGTGTGTGTGTGTGTGTGTGTGTGTGTGTGTGTGTGTGTGTGTGTGTGTGTGTGTGTGTGTGTGTGTGTGTGTGTGTGTGTGTGTGTGTGTGTGTGTGTGTGTGTGTGTGTGTGTGTGTGTGTGTGTGTGTGTGTGTGTGTGTGTGTGTGTGTGTGTGTGTGTGTGTGTGTGTGTGTGTGTGTGTGTGTGTGTGTGTGTGTGTGTGTGTGTGTGTGTGTGTGTGTGTGTGTGTGTGTGTGTGTGTGTGTGTGTGTGTGTGTGTGTGTGTGTGTGTGTGTGTGTGTGTGTGTGTGTGTGTGTGTGTGTGTGTGTGTGTGTGTGTGTGTGTGTGTGTGGGGGGGGGGGGGGCTGTTTTTTTTTGGGTGGGGGGCGAGGCGTTTCATTTGTAGCGTGTTACTAGGTTGAACAAGGAGTGTTGGGATTGCAGGTGCATTTCCAAGTAAAATATCCAACAGATTCTGTGGCGTGTAGGGAGTAAGCATAGGTTGGGGTTTCGTTGCTTGAGACGGGGTTCATTGGGTTGTAGGATTTCGGATGCTCCAGCCACATGCGAAGTTCTCGGAATGCTATCCAGAAGACGAGCACCGTCAAAAATGTGTAGCAATAAGAGTAACGGTAATCCTAAATAGTCATTGTATACTTGCAAAGAATGAATACCCTCATGCCCTGGTGTAAACAGAATCTGTTTGTAGTTCTTGGGAGGTTTTCATCAGCCACACATGGGGTTCGCCGCGATGGCTCAAGTACCTGAGCCTTGGCTTACAGATATAGGGTCTATAGCACTTAGGGGTACTCAGAAATATGTTTTGAAGTTTTGGTTATTATAGTCCCTAAGAAACAGCTAAAATCATGATTTTTGCTAGGGCTCTAAGTTCAGTATAGTCAGAAGGTTGTCTGGGATTTCACCGGGGCTCATGCTTCGGCTTTTGGGGGCTCCATGTTAGAAGGGGCCCCCACCCTGTAATAGTGATAATAAGGATTATATTAGGGCCCTATCATATTCCTATTATACCACTATTACAGGGTGGGAGCAGCTTCTAAGCTCTATGGGATTTTGGGGTTTGGGGACCTAGGGTTTTGGGTGCAGGGTTTTAGGGCTTTTCAGGGTGGAGGGTTTGCAGGGTTTACGGTTCAATCCGAGATCCTTACCAAAAGCGCCAGTTGGAGGAGGTCACGCGGGGTGCCAATGCTGCACCCCGGCTTGGCGGGCTCCGCTGAGGCAGCGCACGGCCATCCCTATAAAAATAAGGGAGTGATGGAGCGTGCCAGTGTGGGGGTGCCAGAGCGAGTGTGGAGGGAGATTGAGTGCGGGAGCGAACGCTGAGGTGTGTGTGGCAGCGTTTAATGCCTCGATCCCATGAGTCGTTCAACTGAGCGCAAGCTCTTGTGGTAGTCAAATCTTTTGGAAAAACCGACTTGGGATCAAGCGTTTAGCAGGGAACGACGTGCATTGGAGCTGCTGCGCCAATGGACGTCTCAATGGATGTGGAGGTTGGCTTCTTGCAGTCTCACTGATTGTTGTGTTGATGCCGGTTGACACTGATTTCCGTTGCCTTCTGGTCAGGATTATACTCCGATATTGGACAATTCTAGAAAGACAGTGTGGAGTGTGTGTCGTCCTCGAAGACCACTGCAGACAGCTATGCCAAGACCACTTTGGAAGACTCATCCAAGATCACTTCCAAGACCGCTTCAGGCCAGATGGACCATGTTTCAACTAGGCAGTTTCTTTCAGGATGCAAGTCGTTTACTGCGACAACCGGTCGCTCTTTTTGCTCAAGACTCAAAAAGGTCAGGTAGACTTGAATGGCCAGAGCGAGTGGGCAGATTGCGGTGACCGCTGTAACAAGTGCACTTGTGCATCACGGGTGGCGGCATTACATCACTCAACGGGTCGGATCAGCAGCGGTTGACCTGGTGATCCAAGCGGCACACTACGCTCTTCAAGAAGAGTCAGTGCGATCTTGCTTGGTTGAATCACTAAAGAGTCTGTTCTACTTGGGTGGCTTCATCCTGCTACTTGAGTGGTGGCCTTTGGTTGTTCGATTGGTTTATTCGTTGGGACGTGTGCTGTTGTACATAATCTGCTGGACCATCGAGCTACTGGAAACTGTGCTAGCACGGTACAGGTATCACAAGGAAGTTTGGGGGCGAGCTGGCACGCATCGACCAGAACGCTTGGAGCTAACCTGCGATAGCATGGCAGCATTGGTCGCCGCAGGTGCGAATCCATTTCCAATAGGCAGCTTTGCTGTGGTGTCGCGCCCTCCTGTGTTTGACGAGGTATGGGTAGCGGCGCAAGGGCCAGGAGCAGGGGAAGTCCTGACTCGTACCACGAACGAAGAAGGCACAGACTGGGTATGGGTGGTGATCCAGCCGGTCGGCGGTCAGATGCTAGCGCCAACGCTCGTCGGGGACAATCGGCGTCCTCCGCACGGCGTGCCTGCCAACAGCGTGAACTGGGTTTGTGTACCACCCAACAGCGATGCCAAATGGGTTCCGAATCAGGCGGAGATGATGGCACTGATACGGGACGCTACGCAGATGGTGGGGCAATTGCAACAAGCCGGAGCCGGATGTTACCCCGTCAACGTGGCGGGAGTAGGCGGTCGGTTGGAGCCAGTTCAGATGCCGGTCCCAGCACCGATAGTGGCTGCTGCCGCTCCAAACCCCGCCGGACCAGGCGTGGGGGGTGGAGGTGGTGTGCCCGTGGGTGCAGGGCTGGGGTTCAATGCAGGCGTGCAGGGAGGCGCAGGCAATCAGAGCCCAGTGGATGTGAAGGCTTTCGAAGAGGCACTTGCTCAGTTGAAAGCCTTGTCGTTGGGGAGCGCAAAGAAGGAGAAGAAGGACCGCAAGAAAGACAAAAAGAAGAAAACGAAGAAGGACAAGAAGAAAAAGAAGAAACACCGAAAGAAAAGCTCCTCGACCAGCTCATCCAGCAGCAGTCAGTCTCGGTCCCGCTCGAGGTCGTCCACGAGTTCGAGCAGCACATCAAGCCGGAAGCCCTTGCGCTGGAAGGAGAGTGCGAAAGACAAGCATGTTTCCTACACGGATCTGGCGCATGTGGAGGGTTTGAAGTGGAAGAAGAAGGGGGACCTGATAGCATTTGCCACCAAGCATCCGGGTGCATTGACGGCTCACTTCTTGGCGGGAGTGTATGCTCGACTGTCAAAAGGGACCCTGAGCCGATCTTCCCAGCTACGGGAGGCCTCAGTCGCTGCCTGGGCTCATCAGTTCACCGGGCTGACAGAGATACGGGACATGAAGGAGGTGCTCACGCTGGCGGAGATCTTGGATTCGGTGAATCGTCGCGAGATCGCCCGAGCTCTAGACATCCTTTGTCAGCGAATCTTGGCGATCCAGGCCGCGAAGATGAAGGGTGGCAGCTGGGAGAAGGCGGAGGCCATAGAGCTGATCAGCACTCAGAAGTCCCTGGCAAGCACAGGGATGCTCGCCCTGACCAATGCCTGATCAGGCGCTTCAGGCAGGCATGGCGCCTGCATGATTCGGGTATATCTGCTTCACCAGGATTTGGAAGGTTCTTTTCGGTGGCCGCTGCTAGTTTGATGTCGGCCCTGGGAAGGAAGCACAGTCCTTGTCCTTTGGGGTCCCAGATTCTCCGTTTGCGCCGTCTTTTGCATGAATTCGCTTTGAAAGGTATATGTTCGAGGGTTGGAGGCCGCTTGGGCCATTCGCCTGCCCATGTTTTTCCTTTACCGCCACTCAGCAACAACAGTGCCGTCGGTGCTAATCCTGGAGATTCTGCTCCAGCGGTGTGTCCGGGCTTGGTCGATGGTGCGAATCTGGTGGTGGCTACTCTCAACATGCTGCACGGGGGGCCGCTTGATACAGGTTTGGAGCCTGTGTTGACGGCTGCCCATCGCCGGGTGCATGCTTCGATCGCGTGTGCCTTGGAGGCTATGGTGTTGACTGATGAGCCTATTTTGTCTAGTGAAGGGCTAGATGGTTATTTAAAGCAGTCCGAGCATTACTCCGGTAGCGGGGTGGTGCTTGCTTTGGGTGAAAGAGGAGGTGTTCCTGACAAAGCGGCGGATGTAGATCTGTGGCATCACCTCAGGGGCGCATTCCCGGAGATGGCGGAGCAAGTTGTCCATCCGCGGGCATTGCTGCTGCCATCCAAGCGGAGGCCGAAATGTGTGAAGAGAGGTTACACTTGGTTGGCGTCCTCTTATCCCGAGTTGGTTAAGCGAAATGTGCGGGCTGGTTTGCATCGGTTGAAGAAGCCGCGAGAGGTGGCTAAACATCGAGGCGTGAAGTGTCTTGCAGGTGCTTTTGCCGTGAAGAAAGATGCACATGAGGACAGAGTCATCACTGACCCAAGCGTCAATCAATTGCTAGACCCGGACAAGCTGCCGCGTCCTAGATTTGCTTACATACCGAAACTGCGCTGTCTACATGTTCCCTCCAGTGGGGTGCTGGTGGTATCTAAGCGTGACGCTCGGCACTATTTTCATCGTCTTCGCATTGGTAGGCGTTGGCACAAATGGCTATGCGGACCACCGGTTGATGGCGGCGCTGGGCTTAAGGCCAAACTTATGTATCCGGCATCGTGTGCAGCTCCCATGGGGTTTGGACCATCAGCAGGGTGGGCGCAGGGGCTTACAGATGTTGTGGCAGAGGATGCGGGTTTATGTCCTGAGCAGCGTTTGCATCCAGACCATGTGGTGCCTAGCAGTATGCCGGTGTGGGGGTCGATCGTTGATGACATCTGGGCTATAGAGCATGCAGAAACACAGCTGGATGCAGGTGTGGGTGCAGCGTGGATGGACGCAGCACAAAAGGCCTGGGTCTCGCGAGGTGTGGAGCCCAACTTGAAGAAGAGCGTTGATTCTGCCTTGGGAGAGGAGATCCAGGGCTATTATGTGCACCCGTACGGTCATTGGGTTGGGGTCAGTTTGGAGAAGAGGCGATGGCTTTTCCAAGCGACCATGCACATATTGCGGCAGCGTACCGTTCTGGTTGGGGTCGTTGAGAGGGTCGTCGGCAAACATGGTTTCGTGCACTCAGCACGGCCGGCTCTCAGGTCTGTGTTCGAGGTCACGTACAACTGGCTGGCATCCCTCCATGGGCGCAGGCGTGATCGTGTTGCACTACCGCGTGAGGTCTGGATTGAGCTTGCAATATCAGCTATGTTGTTGCCGTATGCTTCATTCAACCTGTCCTCCGAGTGGAGCAATCGTATAGAGTGCACAGATGCATCCATGAGCGGTATCGGTCGTGCTTGGGGAGTGGTGCCTCAATCAGTTGTGCACACTCTCGCCCGTTATGCAGATCATGCTACAGTCTACACGAATCTCAAATTACCATGGGGCATAGGACTCAACAAGGAGCACAAGTGCCCTTTGAGGCGGGTCCGTATACCGATTGAACGAATCAAATGGCATCGAATTGGTTGCCCTTGGGGTGCATCTCACATCACATTGGGGGAGGCCGATGCTATCCTCTGGGCAGCGGAAGATCGCTTGCGGAGGCCATCGGACTTCAACTGTCGTTTCGTTCATCCGGTTGACTCTGCAGCCTGTGCTGGTTGTTTCAGTAAGGGACGGTCCAGCTCGAGAGCGTTGAATCAACGTTGCAGGCGAGCATGTGCGATCAGTATCGGTGGTAATCATAGCGTGTTCTATCCCTGGATTCCATCGGAAGAAAACCCAGCTGACGAACCTTCACGGCTGTGGGAAAACACGGACGGTGGTGATACGCAGGTGACCAGCACTCATCAGCCGCCGCCGCTGTCTGAAGCTGACCTTAGCCGTGTTTGGGTATGGCCAAGGGGTGTCATGTATTTTATTCATTTGTGTTCAGGGCCAAAGACAAGCGGGGATCTTTGCAGTGCCATTGAACAAGTCGGGGCACTACACGGTCTCAACTTGATTGGAGTGAGGGTGGATCCGTTGGCCAGTGACCCGTTTTTACAAGTGCTTTTTGGATATGCGCATCGTGGGGACCTCCTCAAAGGGCAGCATGGGCTCGCTTTGTTGGATTTGATTCACAGCGGATCTGTCATCGGTGGATACGCGTCCCCACCTTGCAACTCATTGCTTCATGCTAGGTATAGACCGTTGATGCAAGGACAATGCAAGCCTGGACTTTTGCCTTTGCGTTCGCGGGACCATGTGTGGGAACCATTGGCTAGGTGCAGTGCTGCTGAGCGTAGAGCCGTGTCAATTGAGTCTACTCTGTACCTGATGTGTTTGGGGTTATTGGGTGAGATTGCCATTGAGGGCGGCATGGTTGGACTGGGACAGCCGGCTGATCCAGGGCCTCCTTGCCCTTCATTCTTCAACACACCAGAAGTCGACTCGTTCAAGCAACGGTTCGGGTTAGTCTATCAAGAAGCGGATCTTTGCATGTATGGGGCCATTCGAAAGACTCCTACAGGTTTGTTGCTCCCACGCCACGGGGGTAAAGTGGCAACAAAGTGCAGCAAGGGCCACTCGCATGTGCATCCCGGAGGTCCAGCTGCTCGAAGTTCTGCAACAAAGTATCCTGAAGGTTTCTGCTACGGGCTAGCTGACTGCTTCATTCAGCGAACGAGCGCAGTCAGGGAAAAGGGATACCTCAGGCCATATCGTCCCAAAGTCCCATTTGAGGTTGTGGGAAAAGACCCTTGGCATCACGTTCACGATGTGCGATGGTCATGGCCTGAACCGCGTCCAAACTTTCTTACTCAAAACCTTGAAGCCATCAACTCAGGAAAAATACCTGCAGGCTCTAGCGCACCTGACAAGTGACTTGAAGGTGGCAGGGTCAACCTGGGCTTCTATGTCAGAAGCCGAACAGGATGAGTTCTTGGCGGAATGGATAGTTGATGGGTTTGAAACTGGTCAGGGTCGGACTGCCTACGGGTGGACTCTCTCGGCGGTGCAGAAGGTGAATCCTCGCGCGTCATTCCGAACAGCCTGGCGAGTCTACGATGCTTGGGGGGTGCAAGCTCCACCGCATCAGGCTCCCGCAGCGCCTCCTGAACTCCTTACAGCCATGATTATTTCAGCTTTGCTTTTGAACCGTCCTCAACTCAGTCTGGTCATGTTGTTCTGCTTCGCAGGTTTGCTTCGCGTCCGGGAGGGTTTGAATCTCGCTTGTGGAGACATTTTCCGCCTGGCTGACAGCGTCGTACTATGCCTGGGGCTGACAAAGCGAGGCATGGAACAAAAAGTAGTCATGCAACATCCCAGCGTAGTGCGATGGGCACACTGCTACTTCCAACGGTTTCCTGAGGGGGCGGCTGGCGCCCCTGTGTTCACTATTTCGTATGCTTCAGTGTTACGCTGGATAAAGAAGTTGGCGGCTTTGCTAGGTGCCGAAAGATTGCAACTGACTACGCATAGCCTTAGACGGTCTGGCGCATCGGAACTTTCGAGGCAGGGGGTGCCATTGGCAGACATCTTGCTATATGGACGCTGGCTGCGCGAGAGATCCGCTCGTGAGTTTATCCGGCGTGGGGAGGTGGCTGTCCTTCGTGCAAAGTCACTTCTTGATAAGCGCCAACATATGCGCTGGCAGCGATGGAACAGCCTGTTTGATGGGGCATGGAACTTGTACGACATGCTTTATCAGCGACGGTCTCTTCTTCCTTCGTATGCGCGTCTGGACCAAAGCAAATTTGACCTTTTTGAGGAGAGTGTTCTGGCTTTGCAGGGGAATACTTGCCAGTAGATGGGATGGTTGGGAGAGGAGTCTGCTAACGCATACTTCAGCGCGCGCTGGGGGCTCAACCTGGAAATGTTCAGGTTGAGCAGACTGCCGATTTAGATCTCGCACAGGGCGTGGATCAATCAACATCCGATGAGAAAATCGTGGCATTCATGCATTGGCAATTTCATGTCTGCTTGTCCTCGCGACTGCCGGTATGGGGTATCGCTCTTGGCATTGTCATCGTCATGACTGTATGTTTCCACGACGGCTCTCGTTGTCATCGTTCCTGGCAAGGGCTTAATCGTAATTTGCATCTCACCCTGTAAAGAATGGACCATGTTTCAACTAGGCAGTTTCTTTCAGGATGCAAGTCGTTTACTGCGACAACCGGTCGCTCTTTTTGCTCCCCTGTGCTGCGCACCCCGCCCGCCCGGGAGGGAGAGGAGTCTGCTAACGCATACTTCAGCGCGCGCTGGGGGCTCAACCTGGAAATGTTCAGGTTGAGCAGACTGCCGATTTAGATCTCGCACAGGGCGTGGATCAATCAACATCCGATGAGAAAATCGTGGCATTCATGCATTGGCAATTTCATGTCTGCTTGTCCTCGCGACTGCCGGTATGGGGTATCGCTCTTGGCATTGTCATCGTCATGACTGTATGTTTCCACGACGGCTCTCGTTGTCATCGTTCCTGGCAAGGGCTTAATCGTAATTTGCATCTCACCCTGTAAAGAAAGAACAATTCAAGGACCTATCGAAGACCATCACTCCAGAAGATTAGTCCAAGACCAACCATCAGATAGCGGACGGTCTGCATTTGTTAATCCCTTACCCAGGAGGCACAAAGTGCCTATATGGGGTATACGTACCGAAGCCGTAAGAATCATTCCTATTTCTAGGCACCCTGATTCTGCTGTGTAGGTTTTTAAGACCTTTTGGGTCAAGCAGCGCCCGCGCGCAGTGCCGACAGGGAGTGGCGGCCTGGCTTGGTCGGTCGGGGATCAAGATGGAGAAGGTAGTGCTGCAGACAGTTGGACTGCAGGAGAAGGATGGAGCGGCAGACTCGCCAGGCATCTTGGTGGGGCCGGAGGAGTGAGGACCTCCAGCCTTTCAGCCCCGTTGGCCGGAATGCTGGTCGACGCCACTGATCTCCAGTAGTGGGGTGGGGAGCTTCAGTACGGCCTGCTTGCGATAGTCAGGCTGAAGGTTAGGCTCGGAGTGTCTGTGCTGACAACAGCAGGTAACCCCAGAGAGAGCCGAAGAAGGACATGGTCTAGCGGCTCAGAACTGCATGGTGGCGGCGATCCCAGCATGCCCAGCACGTGGCACAGGCCAACAAACAGATCAGGCCTCTGCGAAGGGCTGTGTTGCGGGATGCCGTCTTGCCTATGGCCACTCGCAAGATGTGTTTGCAGTCCCTTGCCCCGTCTACCTTTACATCCGCAGCAGCCCTCTAAGGTTGGGGTTTGGAGTTCAAGGTTTGGGGTTTAGGATTGGGGGTTTTTAAGGGTTTGGGGCTTAGGGTTTGGAGCTTATGGGGTTTAGGGTTGAGGCTTCAGTTTTTGGGAGCTTGCCCGAAGCAGAAAGCTCAGGGGCATCTGCTACTTTCTCAACATGGGCCTAGCAGTGAAGGTGCCCGGCGATGTGTGAGTTGGGGCTTCTGGGTTCCATCTTAAGTTTGGGGAGTACGTTCAGGATTATTTTTGTGTTGATTTGTCGGGGTTCAATTCAGGGTCGGGGGCATGTGGTGTCATTGTTTGGGTCTGAGGTTTACTTGCAGATATTCGGGCTCACGGCTTAAGATTCTTGCGTTTAGGTTCAGGGTTCGGGGGTAATACTTTCAGAACATCACGCCTTGGTGGCGTGCATTTGCGGTGGCAAGGTTTGAGCAAAAGTTTCTTGTCATGCATACAGAAACAGTCGCATTACGGGACTAAGGAAACACACTTGACGCGTTTAGGTGGTAATTATTTGCAAGGAAAAGACCCGTAATTTTGTTTTTGCAAGCTCTTGTGTGCTGTCACGTCCGTCTGTAAGAGCAACGGATGTGGACTGAGGGCTACAGAGACTGAAGGTCTGAGCAGTAGAAAGCCAGGACGTTTGGGCCTGCCGGGGGAGGGGGGAGGGGGGTTCTCGAGGGTTCCTGGGCCTGGGGCGTCGCCTGGAGCTTAAAGAGTCTTGCGAGCCTGGAGTTACCGTGTTCTGGCCCGGGAACAAACCGCCATCTCTCTGTCCGCGTTTATGTGCACAAACTGGCAGACTTGCGATACAGCAAAGACTCATCATGGACCTTCCAAGCCTTTCAGAACATCTTAGATGACCAATCCACAATATCAAAAAGAGGCAACACCATCGAGAAGCAAGTGTGGTCAAATAGCATGATGCAGGGCAACACCCAGTTGAGTCCTAAAGATAATGTGGTTGCCGAAGCTCCAAACTCTGGTACCAGATCTTGGCTTATGGTCAGGCTAGTAGGAGATGATGGGTGCAACATCCAAGCTGCTGAAATACGCGAACTTTAATTGGGCTGCATGATGCCCAAACCATCCCCGAACCCAGCAAAAATTCTTCAACTGGAGAGTGGGTGGCAAACCTCAAGCCTTCTAAGGAAAGACCGGATCATCACAATTTGTTCAACCACAAAGCCCGATGAATTCGCACATGCTTATACATCCGTTTGGCAGTCTGCACACCAACATGCTCGTTCATGGCTTTCCAAACGGTCGCCCACAATACATATTGAGCCTGAGTTTAAGATTCAGATTCCGATATTTAGATATAACATGCAATATATTCATAAGAAGTAAGTTGCGACAGTACTGGCATGTAGATACTGTATACATGCATGTAAACGAGCACATCTACAAACGCATGCAGCTTGGATTCATACATACCACGTTTGTATGCATACGTTTGTACTACCCTGTATTGGCTTGCCAGTATAGCATGGCTTGCCGGAAATCCACGGATGAATATTCGGCTAGGTAGATCGTGTGGTAGGTTCATGAACATCTACGACACCATTTGGGCATCAGAGCTTATAGCCCTGGGGAATCCTCACTAGGGTTTGGGGCGTGCCACCCAACATCTCTTTGTCAACCTTTTGGTTTAAGTTTCACTTATAGTTCTCTAGGGTTGGAAATGTTTTGGACATCATTCTGTGCCTGTGCTGGCGTATCCATGGGACCAGGTCATTTCAACACTTTCGGTTCCTCACACATCGTCTCCTATTAGGGTTTGTCCTACAATCTGTTTTCGAGGTTCCGGCTTCAAGTGCCAAAATGTTTGCTGCTAGATTGTGGGGTCTCTACGACCTGGCCATCCTTGTAGAAATTCTAGTGCTATCTGCCATACATTCTTGTTTATCGGGTTTTGCTTATATTGTGGTAAGGCTGTAGCGTGAAGATTTCCCGAGCCCAGACAGCCACTTCAAGGCAAGTTCTTTAGGGCTCAGGTAGAGCTCGACCTGCCTGGGTTCAGGGGTTTGGGCTTCGAATGTAAGGGTTCTGAGTTTATGGTTCAGAGTGTGGTTTAATCCTGAACCTCAAAAGGGAAAAGGAGGGAACCTAAATGGGGACCCCTACCCGAAAATGGGCTATATAATGGGTATATTATATACACGTAGTAGCTATATGAAGGGTATATACCTAGGGGTCCTCATTAAGGGTCCCTCCTTTTACCCTTGGATGAACCCTTAACCCTCAGCCCTAAACCCTTGAACCCCAACCCTAAACCCCCAAAAAAATGCATGGAGGCTGCAGTGACAGCGTGGCTGCTGGCCGTCGTCGGCCTAATGGTCTTCAAGGTTGGGCGTCGAGGTTTCAGGGATTTTGAAGATTCTTAAAAGTGTCCTAGACAAGGTTTATATGGGATCCTGCAAGTGTAGCAATTATAACCCAGGTGGAGGAGCGCAGTAGGCAGGTAGATCTGTGGGAGTTTTAAGATTGCCCCTGTTGGGCTCAGCAAGATCTTCTTTGGGAGTGACTTTCCTAAAGGGCCAACCTAACCCTTGCACATCAGTAACGAGGCCTTACTGAGTAGTGTTCTGAAAACGGTGTATCCCATTTTTCCGACACTTACTTGCCAATGCCGAGAAAGGCCAAGAGAGGAGTCGTGTGAGGACCTTAAGGGTCATCCTAGTGGGATTAGATCCGAAACGATTCGAAAGCTTGATTTTTAAGGTGTTCCGGGGTTGAAGGTTTGGGGTGAAGCCGTTCAATTCTGCTCGGCACTGAGCGAAGTGTCCTGCAGGGAGCTCGTTCTACGATTTACTAGGGGATTGAGTTGTTCGATATAATCGATATAGCATCACGTTGAAGCTACACAGCACCGAAGACGTTACTCTAAGAGTGCTCAGGCCTCCATAGTACCTCCTGCCGGGGGATCTGGTTGGAACTCATGGTCCGTTTAGCGCCCGAAGTGAAAAATCGCAGGGGGCATGAACCTGTTCCTAAACCCTCAGCTTTGGTTTAATGGAATCCCATTATGCTTCTGGGCTGTGCTTTATGTAAGGAGTCAAAACAGGTGCATTAAGCTCTTGCCGTGTCCAGATAGAGTTCACCGTCAATGCTTAATTACAACATATTCTAGCATGGCTGTTGGTCCACATCCTGTTACTGTACATAGTGCACGAAATGGCAGCAGTCGGAAGAGTATTGGCTATCTATGTTTAAGACTTGTCACAAGGCTTGGCAGGCGGGGTTGAAGTAAATCTTATAGGCAAATAGGAATATATCTAGGAACAAACCTGAGGGTTGTGTCGGAAATCCGGCACTTTCGGTGTTTTTCTATCTTTGCATCGAAACCTAGGGTTTAGCAACGATATCCAGTTTTTCGTATTTCTAAAGGAATCCTGAATTCCTACATGCTATTGATAATCTGAGGCAAATTGTAAACGTAGATCAGAGCGAAATACACCAGGTGATTTCCTGCAGCGGCATACCAGTTGTGAAGCATTACGGCACTCTGCATCGTGCTCGCTACCTTTGCTGTTATGTAACAGTCGCATCAAGAAAATGTAATCAAGGGCGTCGTTGTGTTCATTCCAATGGTCATATCTAATCTGCAACGTCGTGGTCAACATCATCATCGACCACACATCTAACACGAAGCAATTGAACTTCCATCTCATCCTGCTGCTAGCCTCACTGTCTCCAGCAGGACTATCACCAGCAAAGTAGCAAGCACCGCAGCAACAGCAGGCACCACCACCAGTTGCAGCAGCAGCTACTGCACCACCAGCTCCAGCACCAGCAACCGCACCGGCACCGGCACCCGGCAGCGGCGCGGCAGCGGCGCGGCAGCGGCAGCAGCAGCGGCGCAGCAGCGTTCGGAAGACCAACGCGGATATCATCCGAATTTACATCGTCTCGTATACAGGCCTGCATAATTTCCAATGTTCTTCCTCAGGGCTCCTCATTACACGTATATTTATAACTACTAGAACTGAGCACAAACCCTTATTCTCATCATTAAGGCCTGGATAGTCCGGTTGTCTGATTGCCAGGTGACGAAGATGTTTTGCGGCCGGCAATATCTGCTTCTTCTGCTCACCGAGTTCCCTGTGCTCGTCTTCTTTCTGTTTCTGGGCCTTGCCATTTACGGTTCAGGGTTTAGGTTTATAGGTTTATAGGGCTTCGGGAGAGAGTTTAGGGTTTTGTTGCTTTAGGGTGCTCAGACGTTTTCTTTGTGTTCCTGGGACTGCTGCATCAATTCAGGCTTAAAAGGTCCAAAGAACCCACTTAATGAATAATTGGCTACTTGGGTGCTTGGGTTTAGGAAAGTGAGGGATAGTGGTTCTGTAGGTTACTTGGACCCATTAGAGTTAGGGTTCGGGTTTGTAGGATTTGCATGATGTGCCTTGCCTTGTGGAATTGTAAGATCCTTGGTTTGTGCCTGAAACCAAAAAGACCTGAACTCCCGAACCCAAAACTCCTCGGGCCGAGGAGCCTCTACACAGCCTTCATAATTCTGCTTAAACCTTTCGATGTCGCCCCGACAGTCAAAGCTCAAGGCTCAAAATCGTGGTTAATTGAGGCCCTCGAAAAAGAAAAAGACACAATCCATGAGTAGAACAACTACACACTCAACCCTAAACCCTACAACTGCTCGCTCGCAGCCCTCAAGCCCTGACTTCAAGCAACTATTAAATGAAAGGGTTCTTTGAACAATTTTCAACCTCCCCAAATCCGGAACACAAGCCCTACACCCCAACCGCCCTAGACACAAAACAGCATGAGAAAGGTTCTTCTTCTTCGGTCAAAGCCTCTCCCGTGGCCTCTGGGCCCCCACGTTCTGGTTGGACAAGCTGACGCCCGCTGGAGTTTCATATATGAGGCTTAGGCTTTAGGGCTGAGGAGGTGGGTTTCGGAACAAGGTTCTGATATCAGGGTTGGGCCGCCGGTTTTAGGGTGTTGTGTAGGGTCACAGGATACTATACCCCAAGAATCCTACTGTAATCATCAGGTCCCATGTAGGGTTCAGGGTTGTTGGGATCTGTGGGGGAGTTTTGGGTAGCTTAGTGGTGTGGGGAGTCTGGGCAGATTATGAGTTTAGGGTTGAGGGGTTAAGGGTTTACACACGCTATTGCCGGGCCCAGCTTCCCAAAAGAGGGATTCCCAGAATCATCGTCGTCGGATAAGGGTTCAGGGTTTGGGCTTATATGCGTGCGTATCCGCAGTAGAGAGAGGTACCTGGGACAATGGGACCCAAAAAAGCTTGACAACCCAGCCGGCCTGAGACCCTAAACCTAAACGCGTGACCCGGCTGAAGAACTAAACCACAAAAGACACCTTTGAGCCTATACTCATACTCCAAAACAGACACCCTCAATAAGACACCTTTGCAGAGAATAGGCCCGACCATAAGTCTCATATCAGAAACCCAGCACCAGCACACTAAGCTCTACAAAGCACAGGTTTAAACCCTGAACCTAAATCCTAAACCCGAAAGGGCTTACCCTTCCAGAAGCCCAACACAACCCTAAACTGAGGTGCATCCACCAGACGAACCAGAACTTGAAGGCCCAGCAGGTCGCAGCCCTTCCCGTCTTCGTAGCTCGGTCAACGCGGATGCTGGTCCTCTGGGACGACACCTACTTCGAAAGGTGCCGGGGTGGGGGGGGGGGGGCCGGGGGGGGGGGGTTCTACAAGGCCCAAAGGTGTTATAGGGCAACCCTAAACCCAGAGAGCAGAAGCTTGCATTCTCCGCACCCGTCTTCCAAACAACCTACATGTCAATTGCTGGAGCACGTCGTGATGGTGATGATAGGTTTAAGTCGTTCTGGCTACGACGATGACAACCCTGTCCGAGGCTGTGCCAGTGACTGCAAGATGTGATCTTGTTCCGCAAAAGCTGCATGTTCCCGGTATGTAGTCGTAGACCGATCTAGACCGCCCACCTTGCGGAGGCTTTGGTGCAACATGGAGATGGCTACTTTTGCGCAGTATTCCGAGAGCCCAGAAAAGATGGAGTTCGTTCCTTTGTGGCTGGCACCTTAGTGCTCCCGTTGTAAAGTAGTAGGGCATATGAGGGTTCGGGCCTAGTTTGGGGTCTATAGGCTGTAACGGAGTATGTTTAAAGGAGTACGGAGCTCTGAGGCTGGCTCCGTGGCTACTGTCTGCAGTACTGCTGGACTTACTTGGAGTGGAGTTTCTGCGCTTTATGGAGGCTGATGAGGGAACCGAAATGATCACTCAGACGGGCATAAAGATGCTGGGCTCTTGTTAAAAGATTTTTTTCAGAAACAAGGCAATATTCTCTACTGTAGATCTCGATTATGGTAACTTCATGAAGAACTTCAACAAGAACCCAGGATGGGTTCGGCTATGCTGGGTGATTCGAAAGAAGCTCTTCTCTTCCTGGAGGGGTTCCTGCACAACTTCCCGTACTTTGTCTGCTACCTGCCCATGGCTCTTCCCACCATGCTTTCCTTCAAAAACAAAATTCACGGGCATCAGCTGATGCTACGGCAGATGGCCAGCTTTGATGTCAAGAAGGCGAAGTGCTCTGTAGAGAGCGATCGCCCGCTGGTTGAAGAGCAGGTCGCTATGCACTTCCAGCCCAAATTGGACACTGATGTCATTGTTGCAGGAGGTTCGGAACCAGCTCCGGAAGCTGTAGAATCTGGAGCATTGCAGGAGGAAGCGCTGGATAGGTTCAACAGTTACGTGCAGGGACCCCTACGAAGCACCCTCTTGGATTGCATTGGGGATGTGCACGATGTGCCCTTTCAGTTGTGCAGTCTTTGCATGCTACCCATGACGACTTCCAATGCCACTGCCATCATCCCGGGTGCCTGGGAGGGCTGCGAGACACTGACAAAATTGGGGTATCCAAATCCGTGGGACTGGAGATTTGGGGGGATGCCCTCTCTTGTGGCTTGGTGTCTTGCCCAAACCCTTGTCTATCCAGTCACCTTCCCGCTTTTGCTGCGCCTTCTTCAGCAAGTGGAGAGTGCAATCGAGAATGCGTGGATGCGACTACTTTTGGGGATACTTTGCAGCTGCTTCGTTTACGCCTACACATTCTTCGTCGCCGGTATCATTTTTGGATGTGCAATGGTGCTGAGCCAGAGGCAGGAACATGTATATAACTTATTATGCAAATGAAGATTATGAAGATGTCGAGGAATGCCCCTCTATAGTCCCTCTATACTTCTGCACTAATACACACGACCCCAAAACCTTAATTAATCTCATGAGCAAGGTCTGTGTTTTTAAAGCGCTAGAGCCGTGTAGCAGGTCTTTATATAAAACTGGTGCTCACAGTGGCCGGGTGAGGGCAAGGAGAATAAGCACCAAGGCGATATTGCCTTTGGTTGTGATGACTCCCAAACAGCCTTGCGAGAACCTTGGGCCATTTTCCGGCGTGCCTGCCGTGCCGGGGTTTTCCGAGGTCTGGCTCGTGGCCCTTGTCCCAAAGCAAGAATCCCTAGGGATCTAAGGACTCATCTATTAAGGCTGCTGGGCCCAAAGGCCATACTCTATAAGGCCTTTGGGCCGTTTTGATCCCTAGGGACAAGCAAGTTTGCAGAAAGGAGCCCTTCTCCGATTCATCGAAAACCCGAAGTCCTAAACCCTAAAGCCGGGAGTCTAATATCTAAGCCCTGAGCTCTGGAACCTAACGTCCTAAACCCGACACCTGCAAGATCTTCTTTCTTCTGGATGGCTGCCTCCCTCTTCGCGTTCGCCTTCTTGGTGATTCAGTTCTGGCTGCTGGATCTTAAACATTAAACTGGCAGGGTTGACTTGATTGTATTATGGGTAGTCTTCATGTTTGGTGTTTTCTTTTTTTCTGAGAAAGTTTTTGCTGACATTGCACATGGAGTAGTTCGAACGGAAGTTCGCCTTACCACCGTAAACCCCCAAATCCCACTCCCTGTCTTCGGAGCCTGAGTCATTACCAACATTTTTCCGCGCGGTTCCTTATTCTAAGCACAGTCAGTTTAATATACCCGAAAACCCCAACTCCAAACATGTAGGTTAGGACCTCATATTGATCGGCCTGAAGTCCTGACCCCTCAACCCCCTAAACCCTCAACCCCTTAAGGTAAAAGACAGAAAGTTGGAATATGATTATCCTAACCCCTCTATGGTAAATTATAGTGTATCCTACCATGAAACCAAATTCCAACTTTCTGGAGTTCCCCTTGGCTCAGGCTTCTCTTCGGACCTCGGCGAGCGAGAGGCTGCGGCAGTTGCCGGTGTGTGGAGTACAGAGGCGCCCAGACCCATACCCAGAGACTCCAATACCCCTTAATTACGGAATATACCTTAACTCATATTAGGGATCCTATTTTAATTTAAGGTATATTCCTTAATTAAGGAATATTGGAGTCTCTGGGTACCATAGTCAGGGAGTATGTGGGAGATTCTGAAAATTTGGGGTACCTTATGATTTTGAGGTCCTTATAATAAGGATCCTACTATTTAGGGCACTGTAGTTAGGGTCCCCTATTTCCGGAAACTCCCATACCATAGTCTCCATTGTAGTTCCTTTTTGTGGTTATCCAAAATCTCGATTATAGGTTCCTAACCATAAAACTGGTTAACCAGAAAAGGAACTACAATGGAGGCTATAGGTAGTCAGGGAGTATGTGCAGGAAATCTCATTTCGCAAAGATTTATATAATGGAGAATAGAATACCGTATAGAAGACCCCATGCATACCCTATATAGAATGCGGACTTTTACAATCCGTTCTTGAATAATCTATAGAATGTAGGCGCGCATGTCATATACCCTATGTGTACCTTACAGAATACCGAATACCTTGCAGAAGACCACACAGACATGATCCATCATGATCCCCGTCCTCGACGTGCCGACATCCCCCCCCCCCCTTCGCCCCTGGCCCCCACGCCCTGCGACAGCGCCGACTCCTCACGCATGGCGGCTCCAAAACCGTCAACTGTCACGATGGAGTTTCCGAAAATTAGGGGTGCCGTATTTTGGGGTCCTTATAATAAGGGATCCTATTATTTAGGATACCATATGAGGGTCCCCTATTTTTGGAAAGTGTCACGAGGATCTCGTTAACACACCGGATGCTTGAGACAGCGGGCAGTTTCCAAACCGCGACTCCGACGTGAAGGCATGAAGAAATGCAACTGTCACGAGGAGCGCGTTCCTGACAGGCCCGGTTCCTGTGACAGTTGAGCCAAGAAAGGCGCAGGATGATGATCATCATCATGCTCCTGACACCAAACCCGCCCAAAGTTGGCCCACGAAACATACCCTGAATCTTACCTGGTTCATTCGCGATTCATAACCCCAACGTTATAGATACATGAGGCCCTTAATAGTAGCCCCATTATAGACTGTTACTGTACGGGGGCCGTACCCAAAATAAGGAGTAAGAATAATGCGACACAAGGCTATGGGTCAAATGATACATAAAGGGTTCTCTTACAAAGGCATATATATATATATATATGTATACATATATAAATACCCACACATAGAAAACATTACATTTACAGAGATATATAGATGCATGCATGCATACATGAATGAATCTGAATATCCTACATGCATTTTGCCTTATTGAAACGGCATTGGCAATGCCCTAAAACCCGAAACCCAAATCATACTCGGTCAAAGCCTACGGTATTTCTCAACCCTGAACCTGAAGCGGAAGGGTAAAGGCCCCCTGTAAGGACACACGTAGGACCCTAAACCCTCAACCTACAGGCAGAACTTATCTCATCGCCAAGAGTATGACCTGTTTATCAAGTTCATTTTGGTTTTGTGGTATCTCTTCGTCGCTTCTCTGAAAAGCTTTGCGCTTCCCTGAGGTAGCATACTTTGCATACCTGGAACCTCCCTGAACCCCAAGCCCAAACCCCAAGGCCTTAAACCCGGAAGTGTACGACACCGAATACAGGGCACTGCATAATGCTCAGCACTCATCAGGATTCCTCTAAAGATTTGAGTATAATGCACCGCCCCAAATCCGGCATATGAAGGCTGCTAGACAAGAAAGATATGTGCGAGGCTTAGATTAAAGGGTCATCGAAAGCCACTCAAGCAGTGAGGGTCTTCACTGGGTAATTACCTTTCAGAACGGGTTTACAGTGAAGTCCTTGCGGAGGTCAGGCCTTCTTCTAGTGGGTTCATGTATGCAGACGCGGTGACCGGTGTCCTTGTATCGGCCCGGCTACGAATCTGATAGCTACGTGGGTGCTAGAGCCATGGCAGACTCTCGTAGTAAGCCTCATAGAAACGCTCATAGAGCCGTTTGTGTAACCCCGAGAATAACCTTTATCGTAGCTGTATGGACCTATGTAGGATCTTAACCCTGACAACCCACCCTTTCTAAAGACATGTTTATGAAGTGTATTAAATTATGGATCCTTTAGCAGCTAGGCCAGGTAGGTATTACGGGGTCCAAGTAACCCCTAGGCCCCAGCCGCAAAACGATCTGTCTGGGCAGGTGGAGAAGATTCGAAGCCTTTCCTCTCACTCCACTGCTACGACGGAGCATGAAGAAAACATGAGAGAGCATAGCAGCATAGGGTTTAGGTTCAGAAAAGATCAGAGTTTAGGGTTTGGGGCTCCGCCTCGAAAGAGTACGGTTAAGATTTGGGGTTCAGGGCACGGACTTTATTCCAGACCATCGGGAGAGCTGTGTATTTTTACGAGAGTCTTTCTACAGCCTTGGTAGATTCTTCTGTGCCCGAGTCATTTTGACATGTTCTTGTCTCTTGGGCCTTTCCTCACTTGCGAAAGAGCGCGGAAACTGCACGAAAAGGGGGCAGAAAGGAGTGTTGCTAGAGAAAGAATTCAAGCCTTCAAATGCAAGCACCGCTTCCATCACCCCTGCTTCACCTTCTGTCTCAACTGCCCTCAACCATGCAGTGGTAGCGAAACACGAATGGCGCAATGTGGCAACAAAATGACAAAAGAACCCTTTAAAGGAACCCTATTCTAATTATTAAGGCCCTTATATTAAACCCTTATAGTAGACTTTATATAGACCCTGCGTCACGCGAATTCACGCCCAGCTGACGGAGATCTGGCAGAAAGCAGCTCCGGTCTCCACGGGCACCCCTCAGGTATGCATACTGTAAGCCTTAAACGCGAGACCCTACTCCGCATGGTTGGCTCAAGGTCCTTAATACAGGGACTGTGGAAGCAGACTTGGTGAATTCAAGCCTACGACACTGACTTCGGCTCTTCATAACCATTCTAACCTGCTGCACTTCACTAAATCAAAGAGACCTTAGTGCAATGGCAGTTAGAAACAGGTGATTTCAAGCAGCAAAGGCTCCGGGATGTTTAGAGCATGATTTACAAACCTCGTGTTTTTTTTTGTTTATCAGGGCTCTTTATATACATGGATCACAATATTTCGGGGATAGAAGATCAGGGGTTCCTAGTCATGTTCCTGCATTAGGTTTCTTGGGTCGGAGTTTTAGGGCCTAGGGTCTTGGGCACGGAAGCCATAATCCTCAACGTTTCTTCGCTGATGGTGCGGCTTCGTCACCCCGCCTCTGCGCAGGCTTCCGCAGCTTAAGATGTCTTCTGACATTCGACCCCGAAACATGACCCTCTGTGCTGCGAAACGTTTGGGCTAAAGTTTTAGCGCCATGGCCGAAAATCCTGTGAACAAGAACGGTAAACCAGCAATTTTCCAGGAAAGGATGCCCCTTACAACCATGATCAGGGCCGAAGTTGGCCATAATTCAACCCACAACCCTCCACCCCCAACCCCATTCCACATCGGATTAAGGGGTTGGCATCCTTCTCTCGCCCTTTCCTTGGACGCGCTCTGCGACAACTCCTGAACCCTAAACCCAAAGCCCCAAACCCCTCAACCACCTCTTCGGAGGCGCTCTGCGACCAGGGGCTTTTTAGGGCCAGCTCGGCTCAGCAAATTCTCTCAGGCCCGCTCGCGACTATATTACGAGCATCCGGGCCTTCGGGTTTTGGGTTTTGGGGCGGTTTCGGGCCTAGGGTTATGGATTTAGGCTCTCTAGGGCTCTCAGGGCTTAGGGTTATGGGCCTTCAAAGACTCAGCCCTTTTATAGTATAGTCTGAAAAGAGCATTATCAAATAATCCCGAGTAATATCGAATCATAATTGCGGTCTTTCGCAACCCAAGATATCTTTGATTCGGAAATTCAGAATTTGTGCATGACTGATAATTGGAATGCAAGAAAGAAGAGAATTAAGATTTCAAGATGTATCACCGATTATTACAGTTTAATCAAAAAATCATATTTATCTTGCAGGGTCTGCGTACATGATTGCGAACTCTATGCAAAAAGGCTTTGGCCAGAGGAGCCAACGAATCCCTAAATCCAACAACGCTCCTTCCTGCAAAATGAACCCTAAAGCCTCAGCCCTAAACCCCGAAGCCCCTAAACCCCTAAACCCTTCAACCCTACAGATCCCTTCAAGGATCCCTTGAAGGAGTCCGTAGACCCTAAACCCTAAACCCTATAGATCCCTTTAAGGAACCCATATAGATCCCTGAGCCCTTTAAGGAACCCTAGTTACTAAGTCCCATGATCCTTCAAGCACATAATCTACCCGGAGGCCTGGGTAAGGTCTTCGCCGAAGGTCTCACTGGGGTCATCGGCGCTGCTGAGGTCTCGATGCTGGCTTTGAGGGTAGGGTTTAGGGTTTAGGGCTTTGAGGGGTTTGGGGTTTAGATTTAGGTTTTAGGGTCTAGCATTTAGGCAGTTAGATAGAATAGGGTTTGGGGCTTCGCCGCTTAATTTGCAGGTTCCATTAAAGGGGTTATAAGGGCTCCTTTAAGGGATCCTTTAAGGGATCTATAGGGGTTTAGGGGTTTAGGGCTGCAGGGGTTGTGGTTGTTGGAGTCCTGTTTGGGTTCAGGGCTCTTGGGCTTTCAGGGTTTCGGGCCCCGGAATTTTAGGGTCAACGGCATCCGGCAAGGCTTCTGTGAGGCGGGCCCTAAAATTGACTCGAGGCTTCCAGTTCTTGAATTTCAGTCAAGGTAGGCTTTTGGGGACATTTTAGATGTTCTCTTGTTGGGCATAAGAAGATCTTATATATGAGCATTTTTCACAGGCTTTAACCGGCCAACCCGCAGCCCGCTTCTGCAGATCCGCAAGGTGGAACCCGAACTCTCGCAAGCCTTGAATTCCTGCACCTCTAATCTTAAATCGCAGTGCTTTTGTTGGCAACTTCAACCCAAGCATAAGATCGGAATTCAGCTTCTATTGATCCCTAACACAGCACACCTGGAATCCTAAACCCTGGAACCCCGACAAACTACGCCCTCAAACCCTTGAAATAAAGCAGCGCGAAATTCTAAACCCTAAACCGACATCCTATAAGATCCTCACGTCACATACCCAAGAACCATATTACATTTGTAGAAACCTTCAGTCTGCAGAACATGAACCCGACAAACACACACAAAACACAACAAACAGCACGGAAAACCGAGCACCCAGCAACAAAAACAACAACATCACAGGCAACAGAGCAACCCCAATAGACACTGAGCCCTACACTCTCAACGTAGCAAAAACAAAAAGGCCCAAACATTAAGCGAGCATGGAGCACCGACAGACGAAACTTAAAGTGCCAAGAATCGTGAGGTGTCGACGTTGCGCCCCGAGGATGTTTCCTCGGCCGGGGATGCCGCCTTTGCGGGGACGGAGCCCGTGAGCCACGTGGAGGCGCCGAGAGCCCTTCGAGGGGCTGTAAGTTCCGGATTTCGGGTGCTATAGGGGCTTAAATACTTACCAAAATACTGTTTTGGGGTTCCGTATTATAATTGCAGTATCGCGGCCCCCCAAAATTAGAGGGTTTGGGTGTTTAGGGTTTAAGGGGTTAGTTTTCTCAGGATGTTCATCGGGTCATGTAGGGGCCGAGGGTTCCAGAGTTGTGTCTCTGTCCCAGTGTGTGTGTGTGTGTGTGAGTGTGTGTGAGTGAGGGGCGCTGCGTTCCGTTTGTAGTGTGATGACAGGATGAACTGACAGTGTTGGGATTGCAGGTGCATTTCGGCATTTCTGTGACGTTTAGGGTGCAACCTTGGGTTTGGGTTTCATTGCCCGAGTTTTCGGGTGCTCCAGCGACCACCCCGCACACCGTCAACATGCAAAACAAAGCTGCAGGTGTAGTAAGAAGTAGTAACGGAAATCCTAAATAGTGACTGTCGAATTTTCTAGATAGAGTACCCGCATGCCCTGACGTGGCCGGAGTCTTTTCTTGGATTTGTTGGGAGGTTTTCATCAGCCACACATGGGGTTCGCCGCGATGGCTGAAGTACCTGAGCCTTGGCGTATATGAAAATTAGGGGAACCTCATTTTGGGGTCCTTGCAATAAGGATCCGACTACTTATGATATTATATTGGGGTCCCCTAATTTCGGAAGCTCCCGCATATAGGGTCTGTCGAAGGTTGGGTTAGTGCTTCGGCTGTTGGGGCTTTACGGCTTTCCGAGGGTTTTGGAACTGGACAGATTGCACCGAAAGTCCTTCTACATCCCCAAACCCCCCAAACATCCCTAAACCCGAAACGCTATGCACTCCATTGCATCGAAAGTCCCTCTACATCCCTAAACCCCCGAAACATCCCTAGACCCGAAACCCTAAGCACTCCTAAGCCTAGAGCTGGTAATCGTTAATTAGTATTATAAGGGTTTAGAGTTCATGATAAACCGGGTACTATACTGGTTCTAAAGAGGTTTAGGGTTTGGGAGTTATGCCTCGAATCTCTTCGTGCTTTGGGGTTTGGAGTTACTTGGAGGTTCACGGGTAGGCATACGTGGGGTGGGTTCCCTTAGTAGCTGAGTGGATACACCTTTCACTTTTTGGGATAATATTACCCACTATAGAACTGAAAGTGCAAACTTTTTGGGGCTTAGGAACTCAGCAACTAAGTTCCCTAAACCCCTAAGCCCCTAGACCTTAAACCCGAAACCCGACAGCCCAGGGGCATCTGCTACTTTCTCAACATGGGCCTAGCAGTGAAGGCGCCCGGCGATGTGTGAATTGGGTCTCTGGGGTTCCATCTGAGAGTTTCCGAAAATTCCGGGTACCTTATTTTGGGATCCTTATAGCAAGAGCCCTACTATCTAGGGTACTATATTACCTTAGGGTCCCCTAGTTTCGGATGTTCCCATCTTAAGATTAGGGAGTAGGTTCCGGATTTAGGATTTTGGTTTGTCGGGGGTTCATGTTTGGGGCTTTATGGTTTGATTGTTTTGGGACAAGGCTTTACGTTGCAGAGTTTCGGGCTCACGGTTCACGATCCTAGTTTTTACGGTTCAGGGTTCGGGGCTTTTGGGGTTCGGGTTCAGTGTCAATTTTGGCGTCCGGCATTTTGCTCTGAGCCCAGACATCGGAAAGCCTGGCCAAACCCTAAATCCCAAACCCAAGCTTGAGCCCTATGCCCCCGTGCCGCCACTCTCCCCCACGGCTTTGAATCCTTGTGGCTTTGGGCATCCGCGTCCGCTACCCTGAACCCTGTATAACCCTAAGGGTCCATGTACCCAAATAGCATAT